CGGACTTCTCTACGCTCTCCGCGCTCACATTATCTCTCATCTCCCTGCCGCCTTTTGAACTTCTCCGCAGCGTAGAGCAAAAAGGCTCGTATTTCCTGTGTATTTCACGATTTTCTTTCCTTTTTTCTCCACTCCAGACCACCTCCATTCCCACTTACATATTGAGCGAGGTTATCACATCGATATAATACTGTTTCTTGCCTTCAAGTTAATAGCACATTTTTTCTTGATTCGGAAACCATAATGAATGTATGAACATACATATGTGGTGGCAAAAATTGGGGCTACCGCAGAACGCATTTGTGGTCGCTGCGATAATCTGGTGAATTACTGATACACAGAAAGTGTCCGATCAGCAGCATAGACCTGATGATATTCTCTAGCTGCATGTTCTATTACATATACCACTTTTTTCTTAAAAATTGCAGATTACATGGAACAGAAAGCTGTTCACAGTATGCATTTTTCTCCGGACATATAATTGAATTCAATGTCTTACTACAAAAGCCTCACCATGAGGAAGAATGTCCACGTTTTTACATCCTCCTGCGAATCAAATTTCCATTTAGTTGATATAGTTCGTGAAATTAAGTAGTTTAATGGCCAGTGGCGCTGCTTACCATATGTAACACGTTAACGGTAAATACTGGATGTTGCGGCGTCCAGCCTGTTGTAGAGGTAATGTGTTTATGAATGAAACTTATGTCTCTTGTCCGTAGGCATGATCTGGTAAACATATTGTTTTGATCATGGCAGTTTGTAAGCACCTCACTTCACCATGGCTTACTACATGCGCCGGAGAATTCGCTATTCTCCGCCCTCATGGCTTTTACTGACTTCAATCGTTCATGATCGAAAATCTTTCAAACAGCGCGGTACTTTCATGCGCTTCACAAAGCACATCCAGAACAAATAAGGATGAAAATGCTTGCTCGAAGTTACGTCTATTGGCCGTCAATAGATGCAGATATCGAAAACCTTGTCAGAAATTGTATCACCCGCGCTAAATTCGCTAAGAATCTGAAGGCGGAGCTTTCATTATTGCCAAGACCAGCACCCCTTGGTCTCGTGTTCACGTCGATTTTTGCTGGGCCTCTCGAGGAATCTCCTTGTCATAATAGATGCCTACTCGAAATGGCCAGAGATAATCCGAATAGGCTCAGTCTCCACGTCTTCCCCAACCGGTCTTTGACCAGAATCTTCCACAATTTGGAACCCACAGACCCTCATCACGGACAATGGTACACAGTTCACCACGACGTTATTTGCCAATTTCTGCCAACTTCGCGGAATCAAGCATGTCCGTTCCCCTCCTTTTCACCCACAAAGCAAAAGCAGAGCGTTCTGTGGATACCTTTAAAAGAGGATTAGCCAAACTGAAGAGCGAGGAACGAACAGCCCATGCTCTCCAAACCTTGCTTACCGCACTGATGTGAGCTCAATCTGATGATGGCACCGGAGGACGACACGTAAGACAGCGCGACGTCAATATGGAAGAGCAGTTCAATAGACATCATGGTTCCCGACGCCGCTTTTTTGATGTCGATGATGCTATCTATGCAAGGGACTATCGTGGACCGAAAAGACACTTGGACGCCTCAAATTACTGTCGAACGCCTCGGAAACGCAGTGAATCGTAGGGGGAGGTTTGCAGGGCTAATGGGCGTTACGAGGACATCGTAACTCAGGACGGAACCTCTCTCGACGATGCTGCAAATGCACGCCTAATCTTCTCAGAACTAGACGCAGCCGCTTACGCTTACGATCACATTCTACCAAGGAAGCCTGCCGAGATTCCTCTTGAAGACCTCTCGAAGACCTGACCTCTTGAACTTAAGACACTGCAGGATTTGTTCGGTCACAATATCTTCGGTTTTTGCTCGTCGCTATGCGTATCTGAGAACAAAATGTAACGGAGAAGACACTTCGCGATTACACGAGATTAGTTAACCGACGTCATGAGATGGCAGAACGCCATCACAGCCGAACAAATGAAATGCTTAGTTTGGATCTGCGGCTTAGCTGAGCAGGAATACGCTGAAATCCGCACACAGGCTCTCCGTAAGCTGGAGTGTAACCCACACACTACACTCAGAGAACTCAGCACAGAGATTCAACAACTCTTAGACATTCGACAGGATGCCAAACTTCTTGGCAGCTCCCCTTTAGTACCAACACCAGTACCTGATGTCAATGCGGTCAAGGCCGAAAAACACCAAACGCAAGGAACCACCCTCACCCTGTTTCCGCTGTGGAGGGCACATTGGGCGAAAGGGTGTAACTTTACAGAAAAACCCTGTCACGCGTGCAACCGGATTGGACACAAGAAAGGGATTTTGCAAAAACTTCAATAGAAGAAGAGTGGCAAATCCAAAGAAGAAGTCCAAACGAGCAAACAGAGTCGAAGTCTTCGCTTCTGGTACCGACGACAGCACATCAGTCAGTCTACAGCCGGCTTCATTCAAACTGAAATCAGCCAACAATAAAGAGATCAAAGTCCGTTGGTATTTCAAATGCACTTTCGTCATAGAAGGACATCAAGGAGAAGGAAACTGTCACGTGGCCGACACTACTTCGCTTTTGGGACTGGACTGGATTATGCAAGTTGAAACCACTCTTTCGTCGCCTTAGTGGAAACGTTACTTGCAACGCCGTATCTGCCTCGACACTTGCTACTCTACAGAAGAATCTTACCTCAAGACTCCAGAAACAGTTTCCTGCTGTGTTTACACCAGGCCTAGGATGCTGCACAAAATCCAAGGCCTCTCTCAAACTCAAACCGAATGCAACGCCAGTCTTCCGGAAAGCTCCTCCAGTACCCTACGCTGTTCAACCGCGTATAGCACATTGGGCGGCTCCCCTTGCCGTTGTTCAGAAGAAAAATGGATCAATTCGCTTATGTGCCGACTTCTCTACAGGGTTGAACGATGCCTTAGAGCAACACCAACACCCACTTCCAACACCAGACGACATCTTCGCCAAGTTGAATGGTGGACGCTATTTCTCCCAACTGGACCTTGCTGAGGCCTACTTTCAATTAGAAATGGATGAAGATTCTCGACCCTTGCTGACAATCAACACGCATCGTGGGCTTTACTTTTTGGGGTGAAGTCAGCCTCAGGAATTTTCCTGCGACAGATCGACACTTTAGTCGCCGGACTGGGAAGGTACCGCCTACGTATCAACGTATCATCGTGACTGGAACTACCACCGATGAACACAACACACGTTTGGAAGCAATATTTCGCAAGAATTCATGACTATGGATTCCGGGTCCGTCTCGAGAAATGCTCATTTCCTCCAAACTGAAATCCGTTACTTAGGCTTCATCATCAATGGACGGAGGACGGTCGTGGACGTCACCCAGATCCTTCAAAGATAGGAAGCAATCCAAGAGATGCCACCCTTGAAGGATGTCACCCAACTTCGCGCTTTCCTCGGTTTAATCAACTTCTATGGAGCCTTCGTCAAGGAACTACATGATCTCCGCGTTCCTTTGGACGCTCTTACTAAAAAGGATGTTAGCTACTCATGGACACCGCAATAACAGTCATCCTTCGACCAAGATCAAAGCAACACTCAAGTCGGACCTCCTTTTAACCCATTACAATCCCAAATTACCGATTATTGGCTGCAGATGCTTCCAATCATGGAATTGGAGCTGTCCTCTCGCACAGATTCCCAAACGGATCCGAAAAAGCCATCTATCCATGCAAGCCGTACGCTGACACCAGCACAGAAGAAGTATAGTCAAATTGAAAAGGAAGCCCTTGCCATCATTTTTGCCGTTCAGAAATTTCATCGTTTCATTCATGGACGTCACTTTACCCTGAAAACTGACCACAAGCCGCTGGTATCCATTTTCGGAAGCAAAAAGGGAGTGCCAGTTTACAGTGCTAATCGACTACAACGATGGGCCACTATATTGCTGAACTACGACTTCAACATCGAATATGTCAGAACAAGTGATTTTGGACAAGCTGACGCGCTATCACGTCTCATGGTGTCACACTCGCCGGAACCAGAAGAGAGAAGTTATCGCTGTTATTGATGCTGATATTACCACCGAAATTCAGGACAACTGCAAGCACCTACCTGTCTCTTTCAGACTATCCAGATGGCCACTGCTGCTGATCGTGTTCTGACACAAGTGGCAGCTTACATTCGTTCCGGACGTTGGCCCAAGTTGGATCGCAACTCCCCACTATGGCATTACTACAATCGCCGAGAATCGCTGTCTACCGCTGACTCATGTCTGCTAACTTCAAGTCGTATCGTGATCCCGAAATCAATTCAACATCGGGTACTTCATGCGCTTCACAAAGCACATCCAGGACAAACAAGGATGAAAATGCTTGCTCGCAAGTTACGTCTATTGGCCGTCAATAGATGCAGATATCGAGAACCTTGTCAGAAATTGTGTCACCTGCGCAAAATTCGCTAAGAATCCTGTAAAGACAGAACTTCAATCGTGGCCAAAACCAGCAACCCCTTGGTCTCGAGTTCACGTCGATTTTGCTGGGCCCCTCGACGGAATCTTTTACCTTATAATAGTAGACGCCTACTCGAAGTGGCCTGAGATAATACGAATGGACTCAGTCTCCACGTCTTCCACAATCCGGTCTTTGACCAGAATCTTCGCACAATTTGGGAAATCCACAGACCCTCATCACGGACAATGGCACACAGTTCACCTCGACGTTATTTGCCAATTTCTGCCGATTCGCGGAATCAAGCATGTCCGCTCCCCTCCTTTTCACCCACAAAGCAAAAGCAGAGCGTTTTGTGGATACTTTCAAACGAGGATTAGCCAAACTGAAGAGGAGGAACGAACAGCCGACGCTCTTCAAGCCTTTCTTATGGCCTACCGTTCGACTCCCTGCCCATCCGGACCAAATCACCTTTCCCCTGCTGAAAACTTTCTGGGTCGTCGACTCCGCACTGAGCTGAATCTGATGATGCCACCGGCTGACGACACATAAGGACAACGCGACATCAAAATGGAAGAGCAGTTCAATAGACGTCATGGTTCCCGACGCCGCTGTTTCGATGTCGATGATGCTGTCTATGCAAGGGACTATCGTGGACCGAAAGACACTTGGACGCCTCAAATTACTGTCGAACGCCTCGGAAACGCAGTGAATCGTAGGGGAGGTTTGCAGGGCTAATGTGTTTATGAATAAAACTTATGTCTCTTATCCGTAGGCATGATCTGATAAACATATTGTTTTGATCATGGCAGTATATAAGCACCTCACTTCACTGTTGGGTCACTTTATTTGTGGAATTCACCCCTCGGCATAAAGGACTTATCTATCCGACTCTTTCTGCAGTCTACACATCCACAACACAGCTCAACCAAGCTTTTCATCCCCTGGAGTCAACTAATTGGTATCCAGACTTGTCTGTGAGGGTGAAGGTGCTGATTTGTACATTGGCTGGCCCCCGCAAGTCATTTATGGGCCAAGTCGTATTAGGAATGCCACTGTGGTCTGAATGGGAATATAATGCATGGCGCAACCAAAAAACTAATTAACGCCGAATGCTTCATTCCTATATCTTTTACATAATCAGCATACAATCAACAGAAGTGGATAATGTGTGTATATTTTGAGAGATTGCTATGTTGGTAATTTAGCTTTTTATCCGTAATCTAACCATATCAACCACCCTCACAAAACAGTGAAAACATCAAAGAACTAGTCTCGATTGATGAAATGCACTGATATTTAAAAATCATCAACAATGTCACATGGGCGTCCGACTCCTTCCTCTATCTATCCGATTTCGTAAAATAGTCCGTGGTATGGCGTAGCTATGGCTAGGTGCTGATTGCAACTCAGTCCTGTTTGTCACTATAAAAAAGAAAGTAAGGAGTATAATTTACGGTATAAATCAATAAGTTTAGTGGTTCGTTTCGTCATTACTTATGCAAGTATATAACGCATTGCAGACTCCAACTAGCTATGAGGAGAACGTCACTGCCGCCTCGAAGCGGCCGAGAAAGAAAAAGAAGTCGAAGCGAGACAAGAAGAAGAAAATGCGACAAGGTGAAAGTGCGTCCGCGTGGCGGACGACATATCAAGAACACATATCAAGATCTTCATTCAGTGGTTAGTTGCCCTTTATTTGTACAAATTCATCCAACATGGCTTACCAATGTATAGGTTGTCGGAAAAGTCTTTGCGCATTTTGCGATTTTTTTTCAAATTTATTTTTTTCCTTCACAACAACCAACAATCAACAAATATATGCACCATCATTATCGACAACATATTGCCATTTATCAGGCAACTTGTGGATCCCGCTTGAATAGAATTCCTGAGGTTTTGAAGAGAAAAAATCGCCGATGCACGTTTCGAGTTGGTTCAAATCGTCGAACTTCCTATTTTTCAGATGGTTCGATAGCGACAGGAACAGGTGATAATCTGTTGGAGCTAGATCTGGTGAATACGGTGGGTGGGTCAGAACATGCCATCCCAAGCTCTGAAGTTTCTTCTGGGTCTCCTTCGCGCAATGTGTGGGCGGGCATTGTCGTGAAGAAAGTAGACTTTCTGCTGTTTCCCTCTTAGAGCTGCAGCGACGCGATCCAGCTGGGCACAGTAGACTTCTGCGGTGACAGTGGAATTTGGTGGGAGCAACTCCCAGTGAACGATCCCTTGCGAATTCCACCAAACGCTGAGCATTGCCTTCATGGGCTGTAGTCCAGGTTTGGGGGTCGGAATTCCATGCTCTCCGCGTCCAAGCCACTGGCGCTTCCTCGTATGGTTTACGTAGAGGACCCACTTTTCGTCGCCGGTGACCAAGTCGTCCAGCCATGCGAAGGTGCGCGCGGAAAGTCAACAAATTCAAGCATGCATCTCTCCTCATTTGGAGCTGGTGACCACTCAGCTCATGAGGTATCCATACACCGTATCTCCATCTCTTTCCGAGACGATGCAAATGGTCAGCCACTGTGTCGTGATGGCTATCAAGCTCCTTTGCCAGCTCGCGGGTAGTACGCCTGGAATCCTCTTCAACCAGCTCCAGAAGGCGGTCGTCATTCAGCTGAGCCGGTCTCCCAGATCGTGGTTTGTCGGTCAAGTCGAAGTCACCGTTTTCGAACTTGTGGAACCAATTTCTTGCCGTGCTGTAAGAGACAGTAGAGGGTCCCATCGCATCACATATGTTCTTTGTCGCACGATTCGGATTGACGTTTTTTCTGAACTCATAAAGCAGAAGCAGTCTAACTTGTCCTACGTCGAGAGCGATTCTTTCAGCCATAACTGTTGCGAAATGCTACCGGAGATATGGTGTGAGGAGCGCATTGACCTGCCCTTACATATGTTTCGCAATGAACGTTCCAAAGCAACCCACAACTGGTCCAGGAGAAAGAGAAAAAGAAGGAGAAGAAAGAGGAAAAAAAAAAAGGTGAATGGTTGCGAGCAATGCATGCGAAAAGAAGTAATGGCGCAAGGACGTTTCGGACAGACCCGATACACCACGCAGGGAAGCGGACTACAATCGGAAAACGATTCCGCGGTCTCACTGCGGGTTGTGATTTTGACTGATCGATAAAGTTATGTAGCCCAGCGATCAGTGGTGACCAATGTTTTTTTTTTTTTTTTTTTTTTTTTTTTTGTACGCGTGCAGGAGTTATACTACCGAATTTTGGATCTGATCGGAGGCAAAGCTTTCCCTTCGTTTCGTTGAAAATAAAGCTCAAATGAGGACTGCATGGCACGGTGGCCTATTCACAAACCTGCAATTCATTATTTATACTTCGCGGGGTTTACCATCATCATCAGAAATTCATCAGAAATCAATAATGGTATATGGTATAATGGTCAGTGGTGCAGGGATGAAGAAAAGCCATGAGAAACGGCCCAGAACCCGAGAAATGGGACCCCTTCTTTGCCCGTTGATTCCCGCATTGATGCGACTCTCATGGCGCTTCAACACTAACGCTCTCTCTGCTGAACGGCAAGATGCTCAGACGACGAGGGGGGGTGTGATTAGCTGCCGGGGTGCGGGACTTTTGGCTCGTCCGGCCTGGCACGCGGCGAGTTGCGCGGCGGCACGCGCGGCGATCTGGACGGGACAAGGCTTCGCGGGTTCTTCGGGTAGAATTCAACACGTCAATGCGTGTGCAGATTGCGGATAAACTCCGCATGGTTCTGCTGTTTGAAAATCTTTCCGCTCGCGGGGATTGGAAGCAGCAGTATCGGTGAGGAGAATCCAGCGCAAGATGAGTGAGGGCATTCATGTAAATGTCACTACTACCATCAAAGCAAATAAGAGTCACTAAAATTGGGAGTTTTTGTTGAGGTATTTAATGTCAACTATATATGTTTTGCTGATCGAGGCGCTCACGTCCAAAGGAGAAACATTCGAAACAAAACAACAAAACAGGGTCGATGGTAGGTCACTAGGACTAAGCCCAGCACAGGAGAGGAACGCCAGGGAGAACACAAATTACTTCCCCCAGAATCCCTTCTCCTCCCTAAGTCTCGTCCCAAACACAGTGATTGGCTCACTCACTTCCCCCTAATGGAACGTCCCCCAAAGACATGAGCGCCCTGATTGCCGTAACAGCACTACGCTAGTTCCTTCTCATCTCTTCCTACTGTTACAACCACCGCTGTCCTCAAAATTCCAGCCGTTCAGATGTATTTCGTATTGCAGAACCTTGCGGATTTTATCCGCAATCTTCACACGTTGACGTGTTGAATTCCCGCGATGCGTCGGGATCGCCGCGCCGCTCGCCGCGCAATTTGCCGCGTGCTAACCCGGACGAGCCAAAAGTCCGTCGCCCTAGCTGCCGCAGCGATAGCGACGCGGGTACGGTCATGCTAGTTCGTATCCTTCGGTGCGAATTGCATGTCGGCCCGCACACTTAAGGGGTCCGCCTGCTTTCCACTAGTAGATTTCCCCTTTCGACCTCCGACCTTATCGTGGAATCCTTCGAGTAGGTGATAAAGTGGTTGAGTCAAATTAATCCCACATTTTATTTGTTTGTATTCAAGTGTAGTCAGTACATGACATGTGGACGGTCCCTAATCGCAATCGTTCAGCAATACGTCACTGACGATCAACCGCCACCACCAGTCACCAAAGAAACTGTCGTCACACTCGAGGTGAGACAGAATGATCAATTAGATATTGATTTCCAACCAAAGAAAAATTATGACATTTCATTTTTACGCATTCATATTCCGAAAAGGCGCCTGCCATTTCGGAAATCATTTGTAGCTTTCTTCAACAAAATCCTAACAAAGAAGATCCATATTGCACTATTACGACCGCGGTGAGGGTGCGATCTATCTGAAGCTTTTTGCCGGAAGTTTCCACCGACTCTCCCTAATGAGATTGCGCTTGGGCCTAAGTTTGGAGTAGGGAGGGACTCCAGAGCACGTGAGTAAATCATCCTGTGGTTTCAACGACTGCAAAATTTACCCACTGTGGGTGGCTTCGACCGTCCTAGCCCCTTTCCTCTCTAGGCTTAGACCAAAGTGCAATCTAATCAGCTTAGTACGAGCTTTTTAAAGGGCGTCAAACAGCTTTGACTAATGCAACAATGAGCATCGCATTAGTTGATCAGTGCCTTCGATATACTACCGGAAAGAGTTACGTGGAATCTTTGAATTCGTTTCACTTCACTGGCGTTCTAATATTATACTCCCTTTCAAAAATCGGTGAAGAGCGTCGGGTGCAACCCATACACCACAAGTGACGACGGCCTCCACAATGTAAATGTTTTTGCCAATGAAATGATTAGCCTGTTGCAGTTGTATTCTATCGTTGTCACTAATTACAACTATCATTTACCAAAAATCAGCTATCACTATGAACCACTACTAACCAGATTTACTTGGAGGCCGTCGTCACTTGTGGTGTATGGTCTGCACCCGACGCTTCTTCTTTTTGAAAGGGGGGCTGCAAGTGTGTTCAAACAATTAGTAGAATGTCTGGCAAAAAGCGCGTGTTCGTTTGCGTCGCCAAGTTAAACGAGATAAGCCGTTAGACAGAGCGAGCACCCGAAGTAAGCGTAAATTACGATGTTTCCTGCCGTAGTCACGTACAATGCGCGTCGCATCGACGCGATTTCCGCAATGACAATCCTATAGGTTATGCTCACAATGAGGCTACCCCCGCTGGGTAGCAATCCAAAAATGGATGAGCGTCGCAGCGTTCGCACGCCGCTCACGCGGCGGAGGTTATGCCCCAGGTGCGCGCTAGACTAGGCGCGAGTCCACTCCGGCGTGCGTGCCATCCTCCACCTCCTACATGAACGACGCTTAGTATAGTTGGCGGATTGGCTCGACATATTCTCTCTCCTTTGAGAGAGCGCAGAGAAAACGAATAGTGGGAGGCGAGCACGCACTTCAGCGCGTCAATGCGTCGCGCATTGTACGTGACTACAGCAGAACATTATAATTCACGCTTTACTTCGGGTGCTCGCTCTGTCTAACGGCTCTACAGTTAAGCTAAACGCATCGGCCGATGCTCGTTCAGCCAGCGATCATGCTTTGCAATTCCTAGCGCATTTCATGTTCGGGTCTCATCCAGATAAGGGGGGGGGGGTGGAAGTGATGTGACAGTTGCATTTCTCTTCCACTTTCACAGGCACACTGGACCTTCCCCGCGGAAATTGGATCTCTTTAGGCTGTATAATGTCGCACCACATGGTCCCGCTCTTACTGGATCAGATCCCATATCTTTCACATCGCAAGACAAAAATGCTCTATGAAAGAATCGCTCGTGGTATTTGTGTAAGGCAGAACGCAATGACCACTAATCCTGGCCCACCAGGCGTATGGTCGCGGCGCGGAGACTGTTTGGAACCAGGGTCAAGCGTGCGCCGAGGAATCTCCAACCGGAGGGTTTCGTATTAGGTCCACTGGGATAGAGGGGGTCGTAAGAGCCGGGATTACCATTGATAAGAGCAACGATAGTTGATAGTCTGTTCGGGAGTGATGGGAACCGCGAGTTCAAGCAATGCCATGCGTTCTATTCCCGTTCCCTGCATTAGAGATGTGTTTTGGGAGCATCAAGAGGATCGAGTAGATGCCTTCAAAAAAGGTAGGAATCTACTTCAATGGGGATAGCGTCAAAAAAAATCTAACTTCATAGACATACAATCATTTAGGTTGAAAACCTGTAGCACACTTTGAATTCCTTAGAAGATATAGTGCTTATGAATTTTAAACCTGCTTCCACATTAGTACAAATTTATCCAAAAGTAGCTATGGTCGCTAAGGGGAAATATCGACGGCTCTCCCGTGCTTCACAAAAAATTTCAATGGAGCTATTTTTTGACTGTCAATGTACTACATGCACTTCAATGACCAAAGCAAATTATTTTTGGATTCAGAGCCTTTACCTAATTTTCTTAAATTAATGCATTTCGAGGAAGTAGTGGCTCTTCCTCGTCATTTTTTGCGAATATTCTCAACAGGGTCATTCTTGGAAGTACTGAACCAATTAATATCAAAGACGTCAAAGAGCAACCAGAGATGACGCTGCACGCTGTCGAACGCTGCATTGGTGCTCTAAATTAATGCATTTTGAGGATCATATGACTTTTGCGAAAGTAAAACTTACCGTTCTCAGAAATTTTCCTCGTTAGTTTCCCAAAACGGGTATTTTCTCAATATTTTATGAAAATTTGAAACCGTTCGAAAAATACTCTGCAAAAAAATGTTCTAATCTTCTGCGATTAAAATTCATTCACTTTGAAGAGAACTTATGGTCATTTGAATACGTGCTCTATCCTGCTGCTCATTTGTGCTGCTGCTGCTGCACTTGCTCCCTGTTCCTGGACGCCTCAGCTTGACCTTTGATGACCACTAGTTTCCTGGACGCCTCACTTGACCCTGATCGCAGTGCATTCTCTGCGTGTAAACTTTTTCGGCTTTTCCGCTATTTTCGTCCTCATTTTCTGAGGCTATTCAGAAATATCCGTCAAAATTGCTGAAAACATACCTTGAAGTTTGGAACACCTTTTTAATATCCATATATTTCTTGTTTGCGTCACACTGGCAGCATATTACCTAAATAACTTGTAGATTTTTTACCATTATTGATTGCTGTTGAGCAAGTTTATTTGGGACTAATTTCTATTCTAAATGTATCTCCGAATTCATCTTCTTTAATGTAAACCGGTTCTGAACATGCACACAAAAAGTTATAACCTGCAGTTGTATCAGAGACGTCCTACGGCATTCCAATGATGATTTGTAAAAGCAACAGTATAATGCCTCATCGAGGTCAAATGAAAGAGGGGTGGGATTGGTGAGGAGTGGGCGTGTGACCTTTCGGGAGGGTAAGGACAGTAAGTGCAAAAGTGGGAGCTAAACAGAGAAGTGATTGCCTTTCCTATAGGGCCGTGAAGGCTTGCGCTGTAGAAGATGCAAATTTGTGTGGAATCTCTTCCGAAGGCGGGTTTGCGGTGAAGAGGCAACGCAATAGAAATCAAGGTGTTCAGTGATGCAAGGATGAAGAAAAACCAAGAAAAACGGCCTAGAACCCGAGAAATGAGGCCCCTTCTTTGCCCGTTGATTTCCGCATTGATGCGACTCTCATCGGTGCTGCCCTCTTCAATGCTGACAGCTTCTCTGCTAAATGTCTACAGTCGAACAGCAGAGGGCTACCAATCAATGAGTGTGCAGTGGCACCAGTGGCGCGAGTACGGTCTGCTAACCTGGGGCCAGTCTGAGCTAGAGGTGAAACGCAATCGTCCCCTTCCAACTAAATATAATAGGGATATTTCCCCTTCGACCTCCGACCTCATCGTGTAATGTTCCTTCAATGGGTATTCCTGGCACGCATAGCCGTAGACCTCTGTGAGAAGATGTAAACACGGAGCGGAGAATACCGTGGTTCTGAAAAGAGGAAGTCCAGCGAATCATAAAACAGAAGAAGAAGAAGCACATACAGTAGTGGCCATAATTTTATTACACAGACGGTTTTTTGAGAATTTCTTCCCACATCTATGATAGTAAACTGGATTTGAATGGGGGGTCAACTAATGAACTCGCTCTCTAGTGGGGTCTCTCTCTGTAGGCGCTTATTTTCGTGGCTCTTTCATTGACATACGAATTTGTAGGTCCTCCCCTAGTGGTTCTGTAATGTTTGGCTCAAGAGTCTGGCCTGGCTGGTCTTTTAAAAGCACCCATGCTGTCGAAACCACTCCTGCATGTGAGAGGCCGATGCTTTGAGTCGCTGCTCTGCTGACAGACAAAGCCAGGTCGTGTGGCAGCCATGTCTACGGATACATAACATCTTCTAGAATCTAAGTCTATACTACGTATTCCTTAGTTCTCAAAGTCTAAGAAGAGCGCTCGCTGTGAAGTGAGTGGAATTCTTGCTCGCGCACGCGAATGATCGCAGGTCACCTTGGATCACCTCTCGCCATCTCAGAGATACTGGCAGTTTTACCCCAATAACGATGCAGTTCACAAGAGAACCTACCTGCACAACTATTTAGTAGCGCCCGAAATGAAAATAATCGATATACCTTTTGAATTTTTGAAATTTGGCGCAAGTAATTTTGGGACACCCTGTAGAATGTGATTGACTAAGCCTGAAACGAAGGTTGATACAGGTTTCTAAGGTCATCTGGAATGACAAAAACATATTACTGATGCATGACAGCAAGGATACTAGTAATGTACGGCACCACGAGAGGGAACGTTTTGATCCAAAGAATCAGCTGCCAATTGTGAAACTTGGCGGAGGCTTGATAAGGTTGCCTTGGAAAAAAGTGGGACCACGCTACACGACTGAGGTAGCGATGAAGGCAGACGTTTGCTGTCATGTTTTGGAAGGTGTCATGTATCCGTAGGCTGGCTGCCGCACGACCTGGCTTTGTCTGTCAGCAGAGCAGCGACTCAAAGCATCGGGCCTCTCACATGCAGGAGTGGTTTCGACAGCATGGGGTGCTTTTAAAAGACCAGCCAGGCCAGACTCTTGAGCCAAACATTACAGAACCACTAGGGAGGACCTACAAATTCGTATGTCAATGAAAGAGCCACGAAAATAAGCGGACTACAGAGAGAGACCCCACTAGAGAGTGAGTTCATTAGTTGACCCCGCATTCAAATCCAGTTTATGTATCCAATACTTTAGAGAGTTCTGGGCAATGTGCTAGACTTGCTTAATGTTAGTGACTGTTTACTTGACTGTTCTGTTGGGTTATACATTATTTAAATCAAATAAACGGATCAAGTGATCTTTCACCTGCCTTCATTAATTTCGAAAAATCTAAAATTTTCTAAACCCAAATTTGAGCTGAAGGTTGAAATTTTCTGTGTGGATCATAAAACACGTAGTTAATAATTGTTGCAAATTTGGAGACGTTCCAGTGACTTTCAAAAGAGAAATCATGAAAAAACCGTTTGTTCATAAAATTCTGGCCACTCTTATAGGTGCTGGTAGAGTAGTAGGCACAGAGAAGCGCGACAGTTGTCCTGTTGAAGCTGCCGTCGCCGGGGCAATTGACACAAAAATGAACGTCAGTTTGAAATGATGGGAAACAGAGCAGCGCAGTGTAGAACAGTGTGTCTTCCTACCAGCTAAAGCTATTCGAGCCATCGGGGTAGTGAAGGGAGTAAAAAGCAGCAATGGTGCTGTCCTAAAGAAGCCACCCAAAGTTAAGAGGCGTTGGGAAGATTACTTCAGCAAGCTTTCGAACGAGGAGTATTCCACCTTTCCGCCCTTGAGAACGGATGGCTGACCCTGATTGCAATCCCATCAACCCGTCAGTACAACCCTAAGAAGGGTCAGGAAAGTTTGCCGCTCAAACATCACGTATACAGGTTAATTTTCGCACAAATCTGCACCAATCGAGCGCTACTTGGTGCAACGAAAGTCATCAGCCACTTATATGCTTAAAGCCAAAATTGAACGCGAATATTATATTTGTGATTATGGCACCCAATAACCTTTATAGCTGAAGTATCAGAGAAGATTTTTTTCGAACTTTCTAGGATTTTGGCGGTGTTTCATATTCGGTGTTTCAAATTTTCAATTGGGCACTTGCAATTTTTGCAATTCGCGCGAATCGCAGTACAGATCGCGGACTGTGACACCAGCCTAGCACGCGCGGCATGCTACAGGATCAACCTCTAAGCAGGTGCTGCGGTGGTCCTCTCCCGTTGGAGCATTCAATTTTCAGAGAAGCTGTCCTCTACTAGCTGCCGTAAAGGCAGAGACTAATGAAATATTCGGCCAATGCACCAGCATCTGAAGGAGTGCATCATATGTACAGTTCGCTCATTGGTGGTTCCATTGAATGACCCCTCAAGAAGATCTCAAGAAAGAGTTTCAACTTCCTACGGAACTTTAAGTTGAGACCTAGGTGAATGACCGAATCCTGACGACGGTTACGAATGTAACTACCAAAACATACTACATGACCCTGGCAAGGAAGTCGAGTTGGTTCCAAATTTGATTCCCCCATAGTGGCAAAATTTTGCTCATTCTGGTACCGCCTCACATAAAAGCTTCCAGTTTATGAGGTGAGATGGTCTGGAAAAGAGAAGGAAAGCAAACGAAACCACCGATTACGCCCCGCACAGAGACCTCCCCTATTTCTGCCCGCATTCCACCTTGGGATAGAGAAGGACGCGTTGGACGAGTTCACGAACCTAACCCTAATCGCCCCAATGCCAACCATGGTCATCGACCATTACGTCAAATTACCGCGCTCTTCAAGCAACCCACGTAACCGACACCGAGGCGTTCAACAGCAACTTTAACGCCTCACATATTCCGGCAATTCGGTAGCGTTGGCTTTTCATTGCAACCAGCTTTTCCTTTGTCTTAATTCAAAGTTATATGGGAACTTGAAAACTTTCCTGGTCAGAGTGGCGCCAGCTCTACCCAGACTCACCCCCACCCCTCTCATACTTTCAAGCTGACAGGGTGGCTGAAAGTTTAACAAGATTTTGACGCTTCGTGCACTGCTGGAAATTTGCGGAAATTTCAAAATTTTCTAAGCTTAGAAGCTGTCTGAGACGCCCCCCATAGCCGTTAATCTGCGTTCAAGATTTATCTAACCTCGCTATGGTATTTGCATCGGCCAAGAGAACTGCCCAGAGACGGTCTCAAGCTGCGGCTCCGTAGAGTTACTCTTATATATTCCCTCTTCCAGGCTTCGGAACATCTTAGCTGCCCTTATTTTTCAAGCACATCTCTCCGATCGCAACAAGTCAATGGTCGAGTACTATGCACCCTCAGAGGATTAGGGCGATCACCTAGAGGATGACCACCAACAACGAAGGAGTCAACGCGAATCATATCGTTTCTGATCTCAGGATCAGCCATCAATGCTACCAATAGATCTCGGAAAGCAACCCTGTTTCGAAGAGCTACCGTCTCTACCTATGCTGGTATTTATTGGGGCAATCCGAATTTAATGGACTGATAAATTGCAAAAGGTTCTGCGTGAGCGATTGACTGTCGCGACCGCGGTCATAGGCGGGACTCCGCCGTTGACGCCGCTATCAGGAGGCCGCGACGTCAGAGGCGGGACTCCGCCCTTGACGCCGCTATTAGGCTCCACCCATAGGCTTCCTCAATTCTGTGTTTTCACAGTGTGAAGAGCGCTAGCATAAAAGTTAACCACTGAACCGCGTGCATACAGTTTACTGGAGGTGCTGCACATTGTGGGCATCGCCACGCAGATCGCACGCACCTCCTTCATTGCGCTAATGGGAAATTTATCGAAGCAAACGCTTCGACCGTCAAAGTCGAGGCGCTTATTGCAACTTTGACTATTATTAGAATTCCTGCGAAGTTCTCCGTGAGGAGGTTTACTCACAAGTGAAGACTCCATTTGGTTCATCTTCAAAAAGTGAAATCAACGCCGAAAATCCTGCAAAATAAAAACTAAGTGACGGTCGCATGCACCCATGGATTAATTGTGACCTTCTCTACCCAGAACTTTGAACCCGATGGACTTTTCTATGTGAGGATGTTAGAGAGCAAGACTCAGAAACTTCTACAGCTCGGTGGATGCTCTGAAGTTAGCGCTTCAGAAGAGGTGGGACGACATCGCCGTTGGCTACCTGCGGCGCACTGCTGATTTTGTCGTTGGACGTCAGAAGGCCTCTCTCAAAGCAGAGTCGTCAAATTCAAGCATCCTTCTGCACAAGTATCAATAGCCTAACTCTATCTTTCTTTGAAGTTGGTTTGTTAATAGAGTTCCCTTCTTGACTTTTACACTCAAAAACATGGCGTCCTATGCTTTTCCACCCTGTATGTCGTATATTTATACTTCTATGAATATAACTTTTGAAATTATCGTGATGTAATTCTTCCTCTTTAGCCAATTTACGACAAGGAAAATAGCTACTCTCAAGAGGAGTTACTGAAGCTGTGTGTGGAGACGAGGCGAATCGGAGAGAAGTTCGGCATTCGTGACGTGTCGTCGTTTGCCGGCAGCAATTGTGCTCTCATCCGCCTCTATTATCCAGACGTCACATGCGAACAAATCAATGTCTTTTTACAATACTGTCAAACTACCGGGTCAATACTGTGACTGTGTTGATCCACTGTAAATCAATAAATCCATAATAAATCCATAATGTTTCGACCCCGTATTCGTATTCATTTTTGGTAATCATGTGCTCAATTTTCCACCTACAGATGCCATTTTGTACCTCACTATTGGGTTGTCCAGAAAATCCTGCGACACTTTGAACAAATAACTTTAGGGAAAAATCAAAACCCTTTTCAGTTGTTTTGGCATTTGATTACTGTAGTGTGTCTTCGAAGGTTCCAGCAGAAGCGTACATGAAGGCTTCAAGCAACGTTTTACAGCTCCAAACTTCTCTCTGAACCAAGCCATCTTTTGACATATTTTATTTCTCGAGCTCCTATGAAGCCACTCTGCTTGCATGCGTTGCAGCTAGCATCTGTGCTGTATTCAGGAGGTGACTCGTTCAGCAGGCCATGGTGTCCCGTTGTCCCTAAGGCATCCGGAGATATTTGACTCAAAGTAAAGCACTGCTCTGGTCGGCTGTAGGTGGTGAATGGTGAGCATTTGCTCAACTTCCCAGAGGCGCAGCCGATTGCTACCAGTCGTGAGTTAGCAACAACGCTGAGGTGCACTAATTGACAGTTATCGAGGATCCCTACGTTCTTGGTTACAGGGCAGCATGTTCGCAATGGGTACCACATGGGTTGCGCCAGTCTGGGGAGGCGAAGTGTGTGACCATGGTAGAGATTTCTCTTCTTCCTTCGCATCAAAGGAATCTCTTGACAAAAATGATGATTAAGGAAGATAGCTCAAGCTTTGAGGAAACTGTACACATAAACTCTATTGGATGCGACTGTGCTGCCTGCAGGGACTTTGTAGAAAGGGTTTTTGGTTGCTGAAATGAGCGTTGCGATTGATCTTACAGAACCTGCTGGACCACCCAGGATTGCACCAACATCATATACTCACCCCCATGCCATCTAATGTGACAACGATTCACATCAGAAATGCCGCAATCTCTTGTAGGAAAATGTCGCACAAAGAGAACCCAAGAGCTATTAACTACACGCCCGGCTTAATCCACCTCCAGCCAAACAGGAGTACCTAATTTCTGAACGCGTCACCTAGAACACACACAAACCGAACTGCACTCGTCAAGCCAAAATAGTATCGCTCGCTTCTCTTTCAAAGAGAAAAACATCAAAAAAATCACCTAAACCGAGAATGCAGAAGCCCTGCCCACAGGAACACAACATACCACAACAACATTGGTAAAAGTGATCAGTCCTAGGTTTTGAAGAGTATTACACCAACAAAAAGAAAGGTAAGCAATCCCCGACAAACCATCTTGAGAAAAAATGACGACAGCGTTTCTGACAACTCATATTACTTGCAGGCTCCTCTGAAAGAAATTTTCCAAAGGTGCACTGTATCACGTCCCCAGCAAACCAGCCATCCTTTTGAAATTATGACCAGCGCAGGATTCATTGGAGCCCTCACCGACACAGCATATTACAATAGTATAATGCCCTTCTCTTCTCGATTCCTTAGCGTTTGCCCCACCCAGCGGCCGCTTCTGAAGAAGACGCAACCAACTTCTTTCCCAACCGATGTTGCTGAACCGGGATTAAGCCCACATAGTTTACTCACAGCCTCACATGCCACACAGTATCAAGCCTTCTATGGTCGCAATCCTTCCGCGCGAAAAAGCTCCGCCTCCATTACCCTAGAAAAACGATACCCCTTAGGCCCCTAGCCTCATGAGCATAGCAAAAAGAACGGAACATAAGCGTTAGTTTCGATAATACTAATCCTACACACAAGACAAAATGATCACTCTTTCCGTGGAAGATTCCTTTAAGGTACGTTCTGATAGTAATGACCTTCTTCCTTGGCCTTTTCCTGGCACGTTAAAGTCTAGACCGATCTTACGGACACTCTCATCATTAGCGCGAAGGACGTGACCGTACCACCTCAGGCGAGCTTCGCGCATCTTATCAGCGATGGGAGCCACACCGAACCGCTTTCTGATGGTATCGTTGCGAATGTGGTCTAAACGGTGACCCCGGCAGTCCAGCGCAGCATTTTTGTCTCCATTACACTGAGACGAGCCTCAACCTCTTTAGTCACGGGCCAGCACTCTGCTCCGTAAATGGCGACTGGTCGGACGACGGTTCTGTAGATCTTAGATTTCAGTCGCTCTGGTATTTTCTTATCGCAGAGAACGCCGGTCATCGAGCGCCATTTGGACCAAGCTGCACTCACGCGAGAGTTCACTTCAGAGATCCAGGCTGCCGTCAGACGCGATTGCTGATCCAAGATACTTGAATGTCGTTGTACGTGTGAGCTCAGTCCATTGATCTTGATAGAACCGAACTCATTCGATCGGTTGTCAAGTACTCGGTTTTTTTGAGGTTACGCCTCGCCAGGCGATCGGACCAGGTTTGCACTTGTTGCTCGAGTAGATTTTGTCTTCGCAGGCGAGCATCACGTCATCAGCATAAAGAAGCGTCCATGGAGCCGGCTTCTGAAGATCTCGCGAAATGGCATCCATGACGACAATGAATAGGAGTGGGGAAAGCGCAGAGCCTTGGTGTACACCGACAGAGATGGGAAATTCCATCGAAGTACCTGCCACCGTTTGCACCCGACTCCTTGAGTTCGAGTAAAGTATGCGCACCCACTCAATAAGCTCTTCGGGAACGACGTGCTGTCACAAAGCATACCATACAGTGCGTACCAAAAGTATGTGGACACCCTAAAATCGATTCTCAGGGTCAGCTAAAGGCTTTTATGTCATGAAACCTTCACCATTCAACTCCTAGTGGTCGATAACCTACAATGATATTTTCGGCAAAAGATTTCGTTTCAAG